GTGCTGGGTTTCCTGGCACCAGGGGAGATGATTGCCTGCCGACAAGGCTCATTGTTCCTGGAACTTTCAGTAAGCTGGAAAGGAGCAATCGCTGAAAAAGAGTAAGTTAGAGAATGAAATACCATTGCCTGCAGCCATGACTACAGGGTCTTCCTTCAGGTTTAGGGTCATGGCTGGAGACTCTTGGTGCCACCTTTGTGGTCTACAGTGGGTACTGTAACATCAGATGGTCAATGTCCATCAGACATGATGATCCTCGAAGTCAGGAAAATATCGTGCTCTTACCTTAGTGCTTTTAGCCTCTGAGTGAGAGAAAAGTAATTGGGTTAATTTGGGATGCTTGCATTAGTAATTTTAGACGCTCCTAAAATGATGAACTTGTCTGAGTGACAGGAAGACAAACAAGAGTTAGCAAAGGCCGAGGTCAAGTATAGAGGCAGAGATACCACGTTTCATCCTGCCTTGAGTTACCCATGGGACATCTGTGGGCTCCAGAGAAGAGTCAATGCTTCCATCAAAAGCAGCCTGTGAGTCCCCGGGACGCTTTCAGCCCCAAGAAGTATGTACTGGGGTGTGTTCCCAGAAGACCATACACAGTCCTGTTTTCAACTTTCTGGGCGCTGTAACATTTTATCCAGCGATGGCACCACTGGGCAGTCCTGCCGGCAGTGCATAGGTGTTCATTTCCCACATCCTTGTCAACACTTGTCATTTCCTGGGTATTTTTTTATTTGTTTTTTTTACAAGTAATCTCTTTTGAAATCTTCAACAAACTTGTGGCTGCTTTTAAACACCGTTGTATAGCAATGGAACTTTCACACGTACACATAATGTTTATATGTGCAAAAAAGACAGTTAACCCAGCCTAGCTGCGTCTTAATTTGACAAAGATCATTTTTAGTTTCGCATAATCAGTGAACCGATAGAATTGCTTTTTATGAGACTTGTGGGTCTATGCTCTACAGGACTTAGTGGAGATGCTAATTCCCAGATCTGAGACCTTCCACTCTGGAAACGCCAGCCTAGGACAGAGACTATCCATATTAACTGGTGTTCCAGGTTTGAGCAGACACTGGGCAGAAATCTAAATCGTAGCTCAAAATCTTTCTACGGTTGCCAAACAGAAAACCTCTCTGAGGTTTCTAGGGTAACCGGCTGGAGTAAATCTATGATTTTATGCTTTCTACCTTCGTTGTCGGGAATGTAATAGATTAGCTTGATCGTCATAAGGCAGGAATGGCAGATCTCTCGGCATTGGGAGGTTTGTGGGGTGAGGTTTATCAAAGCTGTTTCTGAAGAAATAACCTCCTGAGAGCAGCTGCCCTAAGGACAGCGGTCTCCCCTAGATCTGCAGTTGGATGAGGTATCTGCAGGATTTCCCTTCTTGTGAATATCGGAGCTCCCACTTTGTGTCTTCCTTTACAGCGGACCTATAATAAGACTTGAGATGAAAGGAGAGAAACAAGAGGAGACAGGCATGGAGGCAGACATGTAATAAACATTCCCCCATCAGCATGGCGGACTCCTCCCTAACACTCCCGTCTACACCCTCCCGCTCCAAGCCCCAAGTGCTCCCAGCCAGTGCTGCAGAGCCTTGGGAAGAAAATCTTGACACCTCGCTGTAATGAAGAAACCCAATTTTAGTCTTAATGTGAATAGAGGTTTGTGCCTGTTGTGTTGGCTAAAGTATCAGCAATAAAGTACTCTAACTATTGTGCCCCCAAACAATACAATTTGCCGTACAAAAGAAAGAAAGAAAGAGAGAGGGAGGGAGGGAGGGAGGGAGGGAGAGAGAGAGAGAGAGAGAGAGAGAGAGAGAGAGAGAGAGAGAGAGAGAGAGAGGAGAGAAATTTCTTAGCTCTGGGATAGACTCAAGAGACTTTGCAGAAGAAGAGGAGATGGCGCAGCTCCTGTGAGTGCTGCTGTGACCTTCCAGAGGGGAGTAAGAGAGAGACTCCTGGAGCTTCCTGGAGGGAAGAGAGACAATGTCTGAGAATGAAAGGGAACTCTAATATCTCTCTCATACTCTGAAGTTCCCCTCATGGTTCTGTCCGCCTTGTGCCAGAGTGCCCTCTGCAGGACACTAATCCCAGTCCTGCCTTGCCTATTCCCTATGCTATGCTTAATAAAGCTAGAATGGGGGAGGAAAATGGGGGCTGTAAAGCAGACACTTCAAATTGTTCAAATATGCTTCTGGCACTTACAAGACTCTCAGGCCTTAAGCTGAAAATATGTGTTGGCCCAAGTTACCCTCACAAATATGTTCCTTTATGTTTACAACCCTCGCAAATATCTTACTTGCTTGTCCACTCTTTGGAAGGATGTACTAGCGAGCCAGCCCTCCCTGCACTCAGTAAGCCCAGCAGGGCTCCGGCAGGGCTAATGTAACACGTCACGTAAATCAGTGGAGAAATGAAGGCGTCTGGATGCTTGCCCTCGCCATCCAGAACCGTGGACGCTTTTTTGGTCCTCATAGTAGCATATCAACGCTGTGTTATGGAATCTGACACTTGGTTTGTCTTGGCGTAAACTCTGTGATAAAAATTGATCAATAGCCTCATTTCCCCTGCTTCCAGTTCAAACAGATACCCATTTCTCTTTCGAAGAAAGGGGACTATAAACAAACCCGACACTCCGGTTTTTAACTTAAACTCAACCTAATGCATGCTTACAGAAGAAATGGATCACCTGCTTAGAGGTCTTTGATTTCATTTCCAGTACTCTTGCAAATGAGTAAATTACAGTGCTTCTACTTCTGAGTAAACTCTTTATTCCCCCTTAGCTCTCAAAGGCGATTGCCTCGCATTTAGTAAAAATCAAATATATCGATTTCCAGAAAATATATACTGCAAGACTAGCTTCTTGCATGTTTATATAATCTGCACTAAATACACAGAATATAAAATTACCTATTCTTTCCAATCTTACGGTCCTTCCAAAGAAAGCCAAAATTTCTAGCATTTAAACAGAAAGCATATGGAAACACCACTAACTGTATGACTGTGGCGATTTGAGTGTGTTTCCTGTTCTGTGAATGTGAATCTTGGAAGTATTTAAAGAAAGGGTGGGTTCTGTTTATTCTTTGACAATTTTGTACGCGTATATTATGTATTTTGATCATATTTTCATCATTATGTTTACTCCTCACCTCCCTCTGAACTCGTTTTCCCAACCAATCCCCCTCCTGCTTTTGTCTCTTAAAAAAGAAAAAAGAAGAAGAAAAAGAAAAATTGACTCACTGGGTTAAATCAGGGTTGTTCGCATAAGCATGGGACAAGCATGGGTGTGGAAGCAAGGGCACTCACCTTTGGCGGCACCACTGAAGAACTCCATCCCCACCCCCAGCGGCCATTTAGTCCCCTCTAGGACTGGGACCTCCTGAGATCCTTTCCTACTCCTAACAGAATGTTGACAGCTCAATTCCATGCAGGCCTCGCGCAGGTAACCACAGCTAGTCAGAGTCCTTGAGTGAAGCCGCCATTCCATGAAGTCCCTAACAGTTTGCCCTTGACTTCTCTCCCATAGCAATGGGAACGTTTCTAGCCCCAGTCACAACATAATGTTTGCTTACTTCTCAAAGCTGAACCTACAGCCCCAGCTGCTGTTTAGACGGCCTACCCAACAGCAAGCCTGAATAAAATTCGTCAATGCAATGGGCCTTTCTGTACTTATAGTTCTCAAACATATCAAAAACATTGAAAAGGTTGACCTAATAACGTCTGTACATTTTAAAGTACTGTTGTCATGGAGCCATAATTGTGTAAGTACCTCTCAGTATGGCAACCTCATTCTTAGAGTCGTGTCATTGGGGTGGAATTGCAGTGTTTAGGAAACATAAGCTCAGAAATGTTCCTCATTCAGAACATATTGCTTCAAACAAAGGTATTTTCCTTGTCTTAAGGGGAAAAAAGATTAAGTGATTTTTTAACTAATAGCTAGGGCCAGAGAGAGTGAACTCAGTGGGTACCCTGGAAGCCATATGTAAACGAGGAAGACCCAACCCCAGAAGTTATAGCCTGACCTCTACTCAGGGGCCACGCATGTGCACCCCCACACATATACAATAATAATAATGGCACCTAAATTCTTTTATATAATTTTAGACATGCAGTTTATTAACCATATCACCACAAGTCTATGTCTCTGGCCCCTGCGGTTGGAATTCAGCCCATCATGAATCTGGAAGTGTGAACACGGAGCTATAATAATGAGTGATCTGCAAGAATTATGCAGTTAGTTCACTTATCCAGCTGGAAGGAACGAGCTAGCTTGTATACTGTAGGTAGGATATATGATTTGATCAATGCGACGCTTTTCAAATTTTAGTGAGTGTAAGGATTCCTGGAAGTCCTTCTGAAGTACAGATTCATGGCTCTTAGCCCTGAGGCTTTTAACCACTTTCTTAATTAGTCACTGGGTACCTTAATTAATCGCACTAGAATTCAGACTCCCTTCGGAAACTTTTTTTTTGAGATTTTATTTATTTTTATTTATTGTATATGTTTTGCATGCACCCTCTACCTGCAGTGCCCATGGAGGCCAGCAGAGGGTGGGTGACAGATCCTCTGGTTGAAATCTTTTGTGTGGGGGTGCTGGAAGCTGGACCTGGGTCTTTTGGAAGAACAGATGGGGCTTTTAACCACTAAAGCATTTCTCCAACTGCTGAAAAAAACATTTGTTATTTCATCTAAATTGCAATTTTTATCTGAACTGGAACTGCAGAGTCATCAAACATTGAGTGGAGTGTCAAGATAATTTGCACGGGAAAGGTCAACAGCAATTAGAATTGGTACATTTCCGGTCGTATATTCCCCAACATGGTAGTGAACTGGCCCACAGTTTTCAGAATTCGTTGATGTGCAAGAGTTGTGTGGACTTGGAATTGTTTTTTAAACTTATTTTTAAAAATACTTTTACTGTCTTCCACATTGCTGCCTAATATTGTTATATTAAAATGAAATCAAACCACAACACTTAATCTATTTTCTTTTCATTTCAAGGGAAGACGAGGGAAGACAGGACCTCCAGGAAACCCAGGCCCTCCAGGACCACCAGTGAGTAACAAAGCTGTGGTCAAGTGGCAAAATAAACACGCCCATTGCAGCCTCATTCATTTTATTGCCCTTTATCTATGCAAGTGATTAGGCTATCAGCTGCGCATTGCTGTTGATTAGTATTGATTACAAGGAAAAACAAGAGAGCCTGAGTTGAATTGGATAGGATGTTGACTTTTATTGTACTTTTTTTTTTTTTTTTTTGGCAAAACAAAGAATGCTTCCTACGATTTTCAGTAATTGCTTTGTGCTTTGAAGAAGACAGTAAGGGTGTGCTGGCAGGCAAGGGGAAGCCTCCTTGTCATTCCTAAATACTTGGCAGTGCCTCAAGACTTGTCTCCAAGAGGGAATCTAGATGATGAAGACGTGAGCACTAAGTGGGCCCAAGGCCTGGGGAGAAGGTGAATATGCCGGAATCTAGAGGGAGGTCTCAGCTACTGATAGATACGTTTACTGAAGGGTCAGGAAGATTAAGAAGTACGTGACCAAGAGAAAAGATTTGTAGTACTATGCTTCATGGGTTTCAGTTTATTGCTAGAGTCGTTGGGGGAGGTGTGTGCATATTTTAAGTATTAACATTTAAACTCAGCTACGGTTCTGATTCAGAGCTCTCGTTAAATCTTGTATTTGAAATAAAAATGGTTTATGAACTTTTTAATATAATAAAAGAGCCAATTTGTTAAGACTAAGAAAAAGAGAAAACAGTTATGTAGACTATAAACGGGTTTTATACATAGGTCAGCATTTACTGAAGAAGAAAACATTGGGCCAAGCCATTGGTTCCTGTCTGCTTGGTAGGTGTGATTTAAGGAGGCTGGTTCCTCTAAATGACTAAAATCTTTCCTTTCATGCAAGCATCATCAAAACTTCATCTTAGGGTACCATCGGTTTTCATCAGTTTAAGGCCGTTCCCATCATAGGATAAACTGATGACTTGTGTCTACCACACTCACAGTGTAGCTGAGGACTGAACACGTAATTTTCTAAACCCAAGGTCCTTCTGAAAGAGAGCTGCTGCTTCCCAGATGATTAGAAATGAAAAGCGTTCTTCATATTGAATCTTTTCAAGGTCATAATAACTAATGTTTTCAATAACTAACTCATCAAAAGAAATCTAGTCGCACCGAATTCGCTTTGTTCAAGCATTTCACACATTTATGTAGGGTCTGACTAAGTGCATAACTGGAGCTGGACTTGAAAAACTGAAAAAGACACTGTCCTTGTTTTTTATGAGGTTAAAGTTCAGGTTAGGTCAATGTGGGGTGAGGAAGAGAATGCAGTGAAGATAGCACAGATGGGTTCCTGAAGAAACTTCCAGCAAAGGATTAAGATTGAGGCTCGAAAAGTAAAGCAAGTAGAGCAGGGGAGGGAGCCAGCTGGGTGCCCCTGAGAAGGAAGACAACGTGAACAAACACCCAAAATTGTCAAGCCTCCCGTGGGTAGAGGTGGGCATCCTGCCATAGACAACTGAGGCACAGCCCCAGGCCAACAGGGATAAAGTCAAATCTTTGCAGGGTCCTGGCAAACCTCACAGAAAGCTATGAAAGTAAACAAAGGGCCTAAGCTGGAAAGGGACAAGGCCAGATTTCACCGATGGTCACTCTAGCAACACACTGAAAGCAGGTTGCTGAGGGCAAGTGAGACTCACTAGAGCTATTAGATTTACTGACCCTGAAGTCTCTGCAGGATGCTTACTACCTCAGTGTGGCTGGCCCAAGGAGCTGTTTGTATTTCATTTCCATATAGAGTGAGAGGTGACTAAGAGCAGTCTAGTCTATTTTTAAATATTTTTTTGTCTTTTCCAGAACTGTATTCTGCGTTACACAAGCCCTATGACAGGAGATAAGACAGCTAAGAGAGGGTGGGTAGGAGGCTAAAATTCTTCTAGTTGAGATTTGAGACGTTGTGTGACTCATCCCAGTGGCCCAGACTTAGAATTTCCTAAAGCGAGTGTAAGAATGGCTTGTGACAAGTGCGAATATAGAAACAAAACGAAGGAAAATTTAACCTTACCTCTAATCAAATAAATAAAGCAATATGCCCCAAATAAATAAATAACTGAGGTATTTATAACACTATGTTTGAGCAGGTTTTTCTTTTTTAATATTAATCAATCTGAGTTGGAAAGGAGCTGAGAATGCGTGTCTTCAGCAGACAAGCCTTTGAAGATAGAGTGTTTGACTCAATGTCCTCAAGAGAACACTCTTCGCTTTGGGGAATTTTGGGGTATTTGCTGAATCAAAGCAGTGTTGTTATTTAGGGGAGTGCCAGTGAAGATGAAAGGAGCTGGGACTCAGAGGGAAGGTCTCTGATGGCCTGCAGCAACTAGAAATAATTAAAGTGCGGGAGCCCATCCTTTACCTGTGCTTCTTCTTCTGGGGTCAAATTTGTATTTTCTCACCTCCCTAAGAAATGATTCAACCAAAAGACACATCATTCACAAGGAATAGCTTTCTATAACTTTAGAGTTAGCTAAAGAGCTGTGTGCTGTGTGTGCGTGTAGGTGGGCGTGTACATGCCCACACGCAGGAGGATGTGCTTAGAAAGGGTGTATACACAGAGCCATGTGACTAACATTTGAAGAAAATTAAATCTAGTAGGAAAAAAACAAAATTCTAGAAGGAGGTATTGACTATCCTTGTTTGTTTTTCTGTTATTCTGATACATCACTCTGACTAAAAGGCAACTTAGGGAGGAAAGGGTTTACCTGACTTACACATCCAGGCCACCATCAGGGGACATCAGGGCAGGAACTCAAGCAGAAAAATCGGAGGCATGGTACTGGCTGACTCATTCCCTGGCTTGCTCAGATTGATTTCTTAATAGCCCAGACCCACCTGCCTAAGGATGGTACCACCCACAGTGGGTGTGGATGCTCCCCCCCCAAAAAAAAAATCATCAGTCAAGACAATCTCTCCTAGACATGATCAAGGCCAATCTAAGTAAAGCAATTCTTCAGCTGAAGTTCTCCATTCCCAGGTGACTCCAGGCTGTGTCTAGCTGACACTAATAACTAACCAGGACATCTACTATGTCTACTGAAGAAGGCTCCTAAGTTATGAGTCACTGCCTCAATGTCACGTACGTTACTGCAGATTAGCACACCCCACTTCAGTCTTATCATCAGGGGAAATTTATATTTTCGGGGAAGACTTATGTGTGGCTCATATATGCAATCTGCAGTTGGTTGCCAGGGCTAGTTCTGCTCACTTATGTAGGACATATTTCTTAAAATCACTTTTCATGGTTTTCTGTCAAGCGGCAGACATATCTATACAAAGGCAAATGCTTCCAAAAATTTCCTAAATGACTTTTGCCAACGTGTCGTTTTATTTTGAGATTATAATACATCATTTTCCCCCCTTCCCTTTCCTTCCTCCAAGGCCTCCCTTAACCCCTCCCTGTTCTCCTTCAAATTCCTGGCCTTTCTTTTCATGTATTGTTGTTATATACACACGGCTATGTACATGCATGTATATATGTATACATATAGATTCCTAAATATAGCCTATTCAGTCTATGGCTGTTACTTTTACGTGTATTCTCAGAACTAACCATTTGGAATTGGATAGCCAAGTTTGTGTGCTCTTCCCCGGAGAAGGCCGTTTTTCTTTTCAGCATTCCTTAGCAGCCTGTAGTTCTTTGTGTCGAGTTGAGGTCCTGTGCTCTTTTCCTGTCCGATATGACATGTTTATTGTTGTTGTCCTTGCTCAGCTCATTTTTCAGCTGTCGTATTAGTGAGAATTTATGGGTGTAGCCTCGGACATTCCTCAGAGAAACAGTCTCACGGCAAACTCCCTGTTCCTCTGGCCCATACGGTCTTTCCAACCCCACTTCAGCGGTGATCCCCGAGCCTTCCTTATGGGAGTCGTGTGCTGTCAACTGGGACGGGACTCCATAACTCTGCATTCTGATTGACTGTGGTTTTCTGTAATGACCTCCATCTGTTGCAAAGAGAAGATTCCTTGAATACACTTATCAGATGATGATACTGGAAAAGAATGTGTGGTATCTGGCCAGGTGGAGAGGTTGGATCTAATTTACTGCTTGCTTTTTACCACGCCCATACATGCAGAGCCTGCAAAATCCAAGAACATGGTACCACCATCTGGTAAGGACGTTCTTGAACAATAGCGTGGTGGGGGTGTCGGGATCCCTGTCTGCCACTAATTGTATCATGAGGACCTCACACTCATGGCCCCATCTGATACTAATTACACCCTAAAAAATCCCACCCACCTCCAAAGACTGTTAAATATGAATTTAATGCTTGAGTTTCCAATACATAAAATTTGGAGGACTCAGTAAACAAGAGCAGAAGGAAACCATTAAGTAGAGATACCTTAAATGAATAATATCTTCGGATGTGCTAAGATTATAATTGAGAACAATTTTCCAGAGAGGCAAAATATAAGAACACTCAAATCCCTCACGAAAGAAGAGTCTAACAGAGAAAGAAAGAGGTTTGGGGAACCCAGGAAGCTTGATTACAGTACTAATGTTTATGTTAGACCTCGAAACGGCCTTGGGAAGTCAGAATTATCTTCATTTTGCAACAAGATAAGCAGTGCTTACAAACACCAAACCAAGAGTGCACGAGAGCGAAGCAGAATTCAGACTCGAGATTTGAGCCCCAAACCCACCTTTACTATACTTGAGCTCTTCCCGGTTTCCGTTCGATATGGACCAGCCTTCCACACCCAAGCATTGTTTGACTTTTCTATGGCAGTTCTTGGCACCCACCTCATAGGAATGTAAGGTAGCCTGGGGTGTCGGGGTGCCATCCCCCTGCCCTTGTGCAACCCTTTCCGGACCGTGCACCCGACGCTGGTTTCTCTGTAAATATGAAACGGTGGGCCAGCCCCACCTACTTCCTACGGTGGCTAGGGGGACCAGCTGCCATGTATGCGTAGAAATTTTCGGCTGTATGCAAGTAAAAATATTAGGATTGCTCTGAGCACCATGCATTTGCATTCTGGGTAGAAGAGCTTGCCCAAAAC